GTGGTGGTGCCAACCCCCTTTCATATCCTCCGTGTACCCGAATCGTCTTGTCCACAAAATACTTTTGGAAGAAAAAAAGAAAAGTTACTGCGCACACAAATCTATCAAGCTGAGACCGTGACGCCGGCACACACATGGCCTACTCTTTCTTGAACAGCGCCAGAGGATCTTTAACGTCCAATGGGATGCAGAAGATGTGACACGCGGAGTCGTTCGTTACCTGCGTTAGGTCGGGGATGTCGCCCTTGTCGATGCCGACGCACTGCAACGACACGAAGCGCAACGGGCGTTACTCGGCTCGTGTGCACGTGTGTGTGCGTACCCACACAGGCAGATGTGTGTGCGTACCCACACAGGCAGATGTGTGTGCGTACCCACACACGCAGATGTGTGTGCGTACCCACGCACGCAGATGTGTGTGCGTACCCACGCACGCAGATGTGTGTGCGTACCCACACAGGCAGATGTGTGTGCGTACCCACACAGGCAGATGTGTGTGCGTACCCACACACGCAGATGTGTGTGCGTACCCACACAGGCAGATGTGTGTGCGTACCCACACAGGCAGATGTGTGTGCGTACCCACACAGGCAGATGTGTGTGCGTACCCACACAGGCAGATGTGTGTGCGTACCCACACAGGCAGATGTGTGTGCGTACCCACACAGGCAGATGTGTGTGCGTACCCACACAGGCAGATGTGTGTGCGTACCCACACAGGCAGATGTGTGTGCGTACCCACGCACGCAGATGTGTGTGCGTACCCACGCACGCAGATGTGTGTGCGTACCCACGCACGCAGATGTGTGCGTACCCACGCACGCAGATGTGTGTGCGTACCCACGCACGCAGATGTGTGTGCGTACCCACGCACGCAGATGTGTGTGCGTACCCACACAGGCAGATGTGTGTGCGTACCCACGCACGCAGATGTGTGTGCGTACCCACGCACGCAGATGTGTGTGCGTACCCACACACGCAGATGTGTGTGCGTACCCACGCACGCAGATGTGTGTGCGTACCCACACAGGCAGATGTGTGTGCGTACCCACACACGCAGATGTGTGTGCGTACCCACGCACGCAGATGTGTGTGCGTACCCACACACGCAGATGTGTGTGCGTACCCACGCACGCAGATGTGTGTGCGTACCCACACAGGCAGATGTGTGTGCGTACCCACACACGCAGATGTGTGTGCGTACCCACGCACGCAGATGTGTGTGCGTACCCACGCACGCAGATGTGTGTGCGTACCCACACACGCAGATGTGTGTGCGTACCCACGCACGCAGATGTGTGTGCGTACCCACACAGGCAGATGTGTGTGCGTACCCACACACGCAGATGTGTGTGCGTACCCACGCACGCAGATGTGTGTGCGTACCCACACACGCAGATGTGTGCGTACCCACGCACGCAGATGTGTGTGCGTGTACCCACGCACGCAGATGTGTGTGCGTGTACCCACACACGCAGATGTGTGTGCGTACCCACGCACGCAGATGTGTGTGCGTACCCACGCACGCAGATGTGTGCGTACCCACGCACGCAGATGTGTGTGCGTGTACCCACGCACGCAGATGTGTGTGCGTACCCACGCACGCAGATGTGTGTGCGTGTACCCACGCACGCAGATGTGTGTGCGTGTACCCACGCACGCAGATGTGTGTGCGTACCCACGCACGCAGATGTGTGTGCGTACCCACGCACGCAGATGTGTGCGTACCCACGCACGCAGATGTGTGTGTGTGTGTGTACCCACACACGCAGATGTGTGTGTGTACCCACACACGAATGTGTGTGTACCCACACACGCAGATGTGTGTGTGTGTACCCACACACGCAGATGTGTGTGTGTGTACCCACACACGCAGATGTGTGTGTGTACCCACACACGAATGTGTGTGTACCCACACACGCAGATGAATGTGTACCCACACACGCAGATGGGTGTGTACGCATACGCATATTTGCGTGTGCGTGCTGCTCTACAAACCCGGCGGCCTGGGTTCGATTTCCCGCTCATGGCCAACACCAGTGACGATTATCTGAGGTCAACTAGGCCTCCCCGAGATCAACTAGGCCTCAAATGATGCACATGTGCATCTGTGCGTACGTGCGAACCTCACCTCGGCCACCTTGAGGAACTCTGAGACGCGTGTCATGCGCGTGAGGAATTTCTTGTACAGGTCCAGCGCCTCTTTACAATTCTTCTTGTTCATCTCAAAGTACTTCTCTGCAGAGCCACAACCGCAGAGACAACCACCACCGCCCACCGCAACAACCCGCGTAAGCCTGGACACAACGCTGGGCCAGTTGCTGTTGGCGAGCGCCTATTCAGGTACAGTAAAACACACGCACTTACGAACCAGCTTCCATTCATTTTTTTTTTTACATCGACTTAAAACGCGAACTCACTGACAAATATGGCTGTCGCCTGATGATGCCGGTTGTTATTACTGGCGAAACGTCGTGCTCGGATTGTAAATGTTGTGGATTTGCTCTCCAACACACAACAGGTGTGCTGTACTAGTAACGAATTGGCCACGTTCTGTTAAACGTGACAAACCTTACTAGTTGGCTGTGTCGGGTGGTGGCGGGCTTTAACAACACATTTATATTTATGCGATCTAAACCAAAAAAACAAACCTATATTATGGATGATATTGTTCGTGAAAAGCCTGCGTGTTAAATTGAACAGCGGCACTATTTTGATCGGCTGAGCAACCCTCTGAGAGATGTTAATGAGTCAGCCTCGTCCTGGGAGCGAGGGTTTGTGCGCGTGTGGGCATTTAAATACAGAAGATTACTGTGTTCTGACTTACGAAGGGGTACCAGGAACGAACTGAGTGCGTAAGTCGAGGACTGTCTGTACACGGACCAAAGAGCAAGCTTTGCCCTCAAGTCTTTTCGTGCAGCGCGGCCCCAGAACGTCGACGGGGGACGAAAAGAAGGAAAGGAAGAAGGGGGGGGACGTGCGCGCACCGAGGAGGTTGATGATGCCGTCGTTGTAGCAGGCGAAGAGACGGATGAGGTCCTTGAAGAGCAGCATGAAGGCCGAGTTGATGACCCCGTTCGTCAGGTCGTTGGGCGTCACCTGTGCACACACGTGACCGCAAGAGGGAGGGCGGGGGGAGGGGTCAGGTCAGTGTCTCGGTAGGCCAGACTCGCGCTCCGCCGTCATGGCCACGCGCGAAGCCGACTCAGCGGCCCAGCGACGGACCAGGGCCGTTCCCGGATCGACGGCCACGGCCTAGATCCGTTTGGCCTTCATCGCTCTGTCCCAGCCACTCCTCGGTGGCCAGAGGGAAACAATCTTTATGGAAAATCAAGTTAAAGTTTATTTTGTTTATCCAGCAGAGAACTCGGGTAGGCCGGGATCAGTCTAATTTTCAAGAATGACCTGGGGCATTAGTCTTGCCAGTAGAGGTTTTGACGATGGCTATGCATAATAAGCCCCTATTAGGCAATTAGCGGGAAATTTAACAATTTGACAGTTTACCTCCCTCGTGAGGCTGTTCCAGCTTTATAATAGGTGCTCGCCAACAATACATGGTCCAACAAACTGTGTAGATGACACGGGGCATCTTTGTCTTGGCATACAATTATGGATACAGAGCACACACACACACACCCCCCACAGGACACAAAACACGTGAGCTAATTTTATCCGAGACAAGATCCCATTCCGACCTAGACACACGCACGCACACGCTCCCTCCCGAGGCCAGCTCTGGACTCGACGAGCATTAATTAATCACGAGGTTAGGACCACGGCGGCTCACGGTAACCGCGGGCTGCCGCGCCTGTGGTGCTCGTAAAAGCCTCCGCGCGCACGTTAGGCATCGCAAGGTCGGTCGGCTTTCTCTCCGTCCGCTAATGGAACGGGCGTGTTGGGAAATCACAAGGGAGTTTACAGCTCCCTGGTCTTTCCCCACCCCCCGCCAGGCGCCGGCAGTGGGGGGTGGGGTGGGTGGGGGGGTCACCGTGGCGCTACATAACGCAGCGTGCCGGCCACGCGGGGGGGGTCTTAGTGCGCCGTCGATTGGCAGAACCCCGCCAAACCGTGCACGCTCGGTAAGGCAGGAATCCGAAAGCTTTACGTCGGCGAGTTAAAATAATATTTTTTTAATGCTGGAGAAATCCGATGAGCTGTGAAACTCTGTTTCACCGATGTCAAGTTATGCCTCGGCCGAGCGATGGCGCTTTAGCCTCTTGTTGCAGAGGGGGTTCACGGTTCGAGGCCACCGGCCGCCCTGGTTAATGCTGCGGGTGTATCAGCCGTAAAATACGCGGCGCAGTGGACGTTAAAGATCCCGTGGCGTTAACGAAAACCGAGTTAGCCCCACGTGTGCCGGGCATCACAACGCAAATGTGCCAAGCAAAATGTAAATTTTTTTTTTAAAAATCTACTCGCAAAATGATTTCATCATCAAAAACAAATAACAAAATCGTCCCCTTCCTGGCAGACATTGCTGTGTGCACCTCGCGCTGCACAGGAACGGCTGGCCCTGGGGCATCCCCGTTGGCTAGACTGCAGCAAGGCAATGGAATGGTTGAGATGAGATGGGATATACGGCGCTTAGGGTTGCCGAGGCATGTAAGCAAACATCCTGCACATGTATGAAAAAGTAAGAATAGGTTTTGCCCTTTCTGGCAATACAGCAGGTGTTAAGATGTTCGGACACCAAATAGAAACCTTTTGCAAGGAATCACGTCTGCATGAACCACACGTACCTGTGTTGAACACTGCAAACAAAACATGCTCTGATCATATATGCACTGTTCTTGAAACTGATTGGGCTGCATACCAGAGGACAGCCTTCTGTCGGGCCCAGTCTCACCAGTGTCACCAGTTGATTGTTATTGTGATCTAACATCAAAATGGGATTTTTTTTGCACATTTTTGTACGCAGCATAAACAAATGGTGCTTTTTCTGGAAGATTTTATTGTTTTTGTAAGGGGTGTTTCAATTTGCATACAGTAAATGTTAAATGTATCTTAGAATTGTATTGTTTGTTGCGGTTGCACCCGAATCAAGAGCCGAATGGCTCACAGGGTTATTCCAAATAAATGAAACTGAAACTGAAAATTGTCAGACCAGAGAACGCGATAAGGCGCACAGTACAAAGACAATGCACTACCAGGGCATTCGTAGCTCTGGATGAGCAGCTACAAAATCCCGCACCCTACCTCCCCCCTACTCGCAAACTAATAATGAAGACTACACGTGGTATCTGCGCCACTCTCATCGCGCAACGCGATCACGAAGGCACAGTTTCACAGGCGGGTTTCTGAGCCCAATTATCAATTTGAAACCGGGAATCGCAACGCACGAACTAATGGCAGCTTAAATTTCGATTTAAAGCTTTGGCGACTGCAGAGATTCATCTTCTTGGTTCTTTCGGTAAAGTCACGTAGAAGGGAAATAATAAAATAATAAAAATAAAACAACGTAGAATGGAAATAATAAAAGAATAAAAATAAAACATTATAAAATAAAGTAATATAATAATATAATATAATAAACTGATTATTATGTTTAACTTTTATTATTTTATTATTTCCCTTCTACGTGACTTTACCGAAAGAACCAAGAAGATAATGGCAGCTTCATGGGCACCGGCGGTGCCGCCCCTCGTCAGAGTGAACGCCGCCGTGGCGAGATGTTAACTACCACGCCAGGTATACAAGAGGTCGCGGGTTCGACCCCCAACCCTGACGCCCGTAAATTTGGAGTTTCCATGTTCTCTGTCCCTGTGGTTGCGTAGATTTTTCTCCGAGTCTGTGTTTAGAGAGTATTTGGCCGCTGTAAATGTACATGTGATGATAAGCCGCTTCGTTGAGCTATCAGTTGTGATAGCCATGTCGCTTCTGAAAAAGAGCCATATAGCTCAGTGGGCCGAAAATTTGTTTAAGTTTTTTAGTTTCTTCATTTTCCTCCGAAATCCGCACGCAAAGTCGGTCGCAGCGGCACGTGCTTGAATGGCACCAACCGCCACCACACAACCGCCACCACAACACAACCGCCACCACAACACAACCGCCACCACAACACAACCGCCACCACACAACCGCCACCACAACACAACCTCCACCACAACACAACCGCCACCACAACACAACCGCCACCACAACACAACCGCCACCACAACACAACCGCCACCACCGATGCCCACGCACCTCAAAGTCGAGCAAAGCGTCGAGCTGGCTCTGCACGATGGGCAGCGTCTTCAGCAGCTTCTCCGTGTTCATGGTCCTCATCACGCCCTCCACCCTGCACACACAAAACGGACAGCCTTTTAATAAAGACCGTTGGGGCAAGTGCTGTTATAGCGAGTAACACCCATCATTAGTTGGAAAGGCACACAAGGAGGGGGGAGGGGGTGGGTGGCCAGTGCCATGCCCGGCCACCTTTGTCTCCCTAGTCGTGGTGTTTACACACCTCGGCAGATAATAATTTAACTAAACACAAAAGGCAATTTCTAAAGAAATAAATTTTTCAATCTACACGACTTAAAAGTGCATAGCTCCCAGTGGACGCAGAAGCGCATCTGAAAGCGCCGTGCGATGCGCTGACCGACCACCATCTTTGTTCAATGGCCAGTCAAAAGCCGCTGCTGCGAGGATGACTGGAGTTGGCGTGATGATGCTTTACGCTCCTTTACGAGATCAGCAAAGTATTGTCGTTCATTGTGGCAAGCACTTTGTGTGTAACGAGCCCGACCTGATAACAACGTGTTCGTTCGGCAACCGGGAAGTCAATGCAACTTGGCGAGCACCGGACGGACGCGATCGGATCTTGTGGTAACCCCGCCGTGACACGTGGCAGAGAATTTTGTACGGGCTGCAGGTTGGAAACGAGATTGCGATCGCTTGGGGTGGCCTTCATCCAGCAGTGGATTGATCGATCCATGGCTGATGATAATGATGATGGATATCGTGCCAAGGCTAGTTTTGTGGCACCTTCCCCAACCCCCCCGTGGCCGGCTGGCTGTGACCCTGGCACGCTGGCCAGATTCGGCGACATCCAGTCAGCACTGGGTGTCAGAAGTGGTCACGTTCCCGGTTTGGGTCACCCACTGCAGCCGGTTCACACTCGTACAAAGCACGGGCTTGATGTTCGCACGCCCCACCAAGTACTCATTTAAGGCTGAGTCGACCTAAGAGGGAGGGGGCCCAATCAAGCCGGGTACTGATATCGCCGATATCATTCCCCGTGACACGGGTTGCCAGATGTTAAAGCGGTGCGCGAGCAACTACACCACCATCTCCCGTCACACACGTACAAACTCAACCCACTCGCCCCTCGTTCATTTAGGCTAGGGGTGGGGAACGTCCGGCCCGCGGGCCGTATAAGGCCCCGCAAAATAATTTGGTGTGGCCCTGCCAAGGCAACCGCAGGCGGGACTCGAAATTCAACAAATCTAGGAGCAAACCTGGAAAATTAGTTGCGAGTAGCAACATCATCAATACCAGCTAACATCACACGCCTCACCAAAGAGAAGCAGTTCCAGCCATCGCATTAGGGGTGAGTTAATTAAATGTTTGACCAAATATAACAGGCTAATTTTTAAGTTGATAATTTTGTGTGGCCCACGAATGATGTTATAAATATCCAAATGGCCTTTGGCAGAAAAAAGGTTCCCCACCCCTGATTTAGGCCATCATTCATTCACTCACACACTCACTTGCTCACTTAAGCTCACTCAGTCACACAACTGCTCTGAACCACTCACTTACTCACCCAGTCACTCAATAAGTTACCCACTTACACGCGCACTCACAATGGCACTCGCTCACTCACCCATTCACGCAATCCAACTCGCCTCAGTTATTCAATCACTCGGTCACTTGCTTACTCACCCACTCAATCACTTTCTTGTTCACTCACACAAAAAGACAAAGATCCCCCATGTAGCCTTCAACAGCCTGTTGGGGCAAGGCGCTGTTAGCGAGTAGCACCTATGAAGGCCTCAAAGACACACAAGCTGACAATTGGCCAGCACCACGCCCGTCCGCCTTTGTCTTCCGAGTGGCGATGTTTACACGTCACACCAGGTACTCATTTGTATGTATGTCGAACTTATTTCACATCGTACGTAGTCAATCGTGCTAATCAGAGGTGTCCTAGGGGAGGCCCAGGACCGGAATAGATAATGGTCACTGGTGCTGGTGGTCGCGAGAGGGAATCGAACTCGGAGTTCGTAGCACAGCGCGATAACCACTCCACTGCCGCTCTCCACTCACACTACCACTACACACTCACTCGGACACACCCACCCAGCCGCAACAATGCTCGCACACCGTACACCCCTCACTCGCCACACACTCTCTCCCATCATGCTGTGTCAGCCCATGCACCCACGGCCCAACCCGTTTCCGCCGCAGGAGCCAAGTCCCGAGGTTCTGCCCGTACCGGAACAAACAGCCTGAAGGCAGGCGTAGCAGCAGCAGTAGCCATGATGACGACGACAAAACCATCACATCATCTCCCCCCCCACCCCCCCCGGGTACCGAAACATGAGAAACAGTGACAACCGCCACACCGCCTCTAGTTTTGCCATCCCAATGGCAGCGATGGGCGCCGCGGTGGCTAGGAGATGTTAACTACCTCGCCTGATATACAGGAAGTCGTGGGCTCGATCCCGAGCCCGACGCCTGCTGTATATTTGGAGGTTGCGTGTTCTCCCCGTGGTCGCGTGGCTTTTTCTCCGGGTCCTCCAGTTTTTCCCTCCACGTTTAAAATCAACATCACGCGTTCAGAGTATTTGGCTGCCGGTATAAATTTCCATGCGATACGCCGCTTCGTTGAGCTATCGTTTGTGACGGCCAGGTCGCTTCTGAAAAGAAGCTAGCTCATCAGTGGGCTTTACCTGGTAAACTACAATTTTTCTTATTAAAACAGTTTAGTTGAGACCGCAGACACACTGCCGACAGAGCCCACTTGAGGCCAGGAGTTTTCTGCGTGTGCGTGTCAGTTCGTTTTTTTCTTCCTCCCGTATTTTGACAGTCAAACACAAAGAGCAAACAAACACAACGCAGAAAAAAAAAGAAAGACACCGGCACAAGAAGAATGTTGTCCAAACGAGGCAGGGAGGAATGCGGCCGATAGCGCCCAGGCACGTACCCCTCTCTCGCTCTCTCTCGCTCCCTCCTTCACAAACAAGCGACGATCCACCCTGGGAGGTCAAAGATCCACCCTGGAGGTCACCACCACTTGTTCCTCTTTCCGTCCCAAATCCATTGCTTTCATTGATCTAAAAATCTATTATTGATTTCGACAAAACTAACGAAAGATCACCATACAAAACGTGCGTCTTCATTTCCATAAATTCAGGCCCGCAACAATTACGCGACACAAATGATATGCAAATCGAGGTCAAGGTGGGGGTGCGGGGGGGGGGCTGATGATGATGTCACTGTCGTCATCGCTTCCCCATCACCGCGTCGCGCTCGGCCTGCCCTGAGTACGGTACAGTAGCAGATTTTTTTTCTGCACCGCGCTCTCTTTTGACAACGTGGCCATACATTACATAGTGCATATTAAGTATTTATTATTTAACATGCAACCGTATGTATGTTGAACTTGTTTTGCACCGCACGTAGCCAAGCGTGCTAATCGGAGGTGCAGCGGGAAGGACGACAAAAACCCAAAAACAAAAAGCAGTTGGAGAGAAATGGGTTTTCAATCTAGATTTAAAGGTGCATAGCTCCAGTGGCTTCCTAACATCAGAAGGAAGAGCGTTCCAGACGGCCGCAAAAGCACATTGTTATGGTTGGACACTGGAAGTTGCCACTTTGCTGGAGCTATTTCAACTCGGCTCTCCCTTGTTCTCTCCCCCTAATGTCAACCGCCCCTAACGCGAGATCTGGTCGTCACTCCTCCAAACACGGGCAGCACAAAGTCAACGCCCTGTGCACTCAGGACATTATTCATCCACTCGTTCGTCACCGTAGCACCCTGAACCAAGACTGTCCTGGTAGAGCACCGCTTTCTCCGCGGCTGAACATTTTGCCAGGCGCCACGCCTGCAAGATGTTAACTACCTCGCCCGGTATGCAGCAATTCGTGGGTTCGATCCCGACCCTGATGCCTGTTGTATATTTGGAGTTTGCGTGTTCTCCCCGTGGTCGCGTGGATTTTTCTCCGGGTCCTCCGTTTTTCCCCCCAACATTCAGAAACCTGCGTTGAGAGTATTTGGCTGCTGTAAATTTCCAAGTGATAAGCCTCTTCGTTGAGCTATCATTTGCGTCCAGGTCGCTTCTGTAAAAAGCTACAGAGCTCAGTGTGCCTTTACCGGTAAAAAAGTCTAGTTTACTTGCGATCTGAGGACAGAATGTGCATTATCAATCTAAACTACTATTAATAATTTGAAATCGCATCCCCCGCTTCCCATTCTCAACAGCAATAGCTGTTGAGAATGGGAAGCGTTCATCGGCACTTCCAAGAGGCAGTTGAAGGTCGCACTCATGCGTCTCTCGTACGAGGAGGCGCCCCCCCCCCCACCCCGTACGCCGAGCCTCCGTGTCACGACCGGAAATTGTCTTCTCGCTTTTTCGAAAAAACGTGCGAGTTATACATTATTTTTGTATTATTATTATAACGGTTGCCCGGTAGCGCACAATATAACGTCCGTCTGTCCTCTGTCCCCCGTCGTTCATCGCGTCCGCGTCCTCCCACCCCCCCCGCCAAGGGCCGCGGGGCACGTGCGCGCCTCCCGCTCCCAGCCACATCCGCACGCCCGTGATGACGGCATTTCCTCTCCGGCCGCCCGCCCGCCAGCCAAAGCGCGTGGCATTTGACCGCCACACGTTAAAGCCATTAAAATAAGACCCCCCAACCACTGCTCCCCCCCCTACCCACCGCTCCCCCCCCCCCCTCTGGGGGGGCAACACCGCGCGCACTGCGCAGCGGCGCCCGAGAGGAAGGGAGAGGTCATCAACCACCGTGGACTTTCAAAATGAGGCAACGCCATCGACAGGACGTCCCCGCAGCCGGCGCCCCCCCCCCCCCTCGTCCGCCGATGAAAAACGCTAACAGGCGGTGGATGTCAGCGAGAAGCGCGTGCGCACGCAGCGTACTTTTCATTCGCTTCGTTGTTTAAGAACCCGGGATTGAGTCCACGCGGGAAAACGTCGCAAGCGCTCGATTTCCTCGCGTGCGCGGTCTTTGCATGTACGGCCCCTCGAGTCAATCCACCGCTGGAGGAAGGCATCCCGTCACCCCCGATGCGGTGCGGGTCATGGGGGTCGTCTGACCATACTTCGCCATGCTGGTTCAACGCGGGTTGGTTGAAGTGCGAAGATAATTCTGCGCGTCGAAACGTCTCCAAGTGGGGCCGCTCTGTGTTTGTCTTGCCCGTGCACTTGAATTTGTGCCACGTTGTTGTCTTCATTTGAACCCAGGGTTCCCAGTGATTTAAATGAGGTTCCCCGTCTCGATGGGCTTCACAAACTCGAATCCGTCTAAAGACGGTCACTCAAGAGGTGCTCAAGAGGCGAGGCCGCGTCCGACGTGAAAAAGACGATGGGGTTGATGACGCTGCTGCTTGGGTCAACTCGTCGCAAGAACTGCCAAAGACAGAGCCCTGTGGTGTAGGATTGTCCATCTCGCAGCCAACCCTCGGATCGAGCTGGGTTAAGGACACGGGACCAAATCTGCCGACGATGAGCCAGAAGCACACACGCGAGAGCGTAGGAGCAATGGGTTTTGCTGCACTGGCCTCTTGGGGGACCACAGCGTGGACCTGCAGCCGCCTACGACAACCTGGTGAGCATTATGGTCGGACATCGGAGCGCTGTTCAGGCCCGAACGCCCTTTTAGCGTTCCGAAATGCGACAAAAAACGACCACATTCCAGGCGATTTGGCCATGGGACCCCGTAGCGATTGCTCATAGAGGTGTAACAAAATAGTCACATTGTGGTATTGTATACAGTGATGTACTCGACTAGGGATCTACATCTAACAGGCAGGATCCTATAAACATCAGGGTAGTTCACCAGCATTGGTTCAAGCAACCGGTCCAGAGTTTTTCTTGTGTATAACCAACACTGCTGAAAATTATGAACTCCTAGAATGCCATGTGGCTCATGGAATGTTTAAAAAAAAAAGTTTCATGTGGAGGAGACAGATATGAGATGGTGGCAGCATCCGCCTATCACCGGTAGGTGCAAGTGACGTTCACTCACCCGCGCTTTATCCGCGTGAAGTCAAAAGCCATCTGCCTGTAGGAGTAGGCCTTCTCGTTCAGGTACTTGCTGTACCTCCGGATGAACGTGGACATGTCGTAACCTGCCCGGCACGGCAACAACACAGCACAGCAGAGCGTGTCCCTGTTAGCTTATGCACACATCAAAGACAAAGATACGTCCTGTACAGGCTTAAACAAACTGTTTGGGCAAGTGCTGCTAGCGAGCACCTACTAAGGATGGTATGTGACCACATGAAGGATTGGGTGGCGAGCAATACGCGAGGCCACTTTTGCCTCTGCAGCGCCGATGTTTACACACCGCACCAGGTACTCGTTTTAAGGCCGAGTTGACCTGCAACAAGCGCTGCCCTGCCGCTAGCTTATACAGCGGCACACCCAGCACGAATAAGCACACGCGTCCCTTTTCAACTTCCACGTCAAACACCAGCATACATCTGCAAACACATACGCACGTCAACAAGACAATAACACACAAGGGAAAACAACACGCAGCATGAAAAGAGACGTGCTCCGTAGACTTGCACCGCAATATGCACATGTCTGGAGCGCAAAAGCGACCCTCGATTAAATACGCGCGCCAACACGCACGTGCACACCCGCTAAACACAAAACACGCGTGGCTCCCGTCGAATAACAGCACAAGCCACACGCTTGTAACACGAGGAGAGCCGCGCGCCTCTGTAAAGTGACGTGCCCCTGCGCAACAAGACACAAAACACACACACACGTTCCCTGGCTACGGACGGAGTAAAAGAAGTTCAACGTGCTATCAGAATCCTTATTTAGACTGGAGAAATCCGATGAGCTTTGAAGCTCTTTTTCAGAGATGTACAGTTCGTACATACACTCACGAGCGAACACGCAGCAGCATGTATCCCCAACACACGCATCCCCACCACGACATGCACGCACACACACAGCACCACACGTGTCCCCGCCACGATACGCACACACACCCACACTAGCCCCGCCAATGCAAAAGCGCGCGTGGCTATTCGTTTACGTGCAAATAACACGGCACAATGTACACAGCCAATAACAAAACGCATTCTTATTCAAATTGTCCTTCGTTGTTCATCCCCCGGACCTCCGATTAGCACGCTTGGCTATGTACGGTGCGAAAGAAGTTCAACGTACATACGTATAATTGTACAACACATACGCACAACACAAAAAAAACCTACACAATCACAGTACTTTACACACCAACACATACTCCAGCAGACGACAAAGCTCAACCGTGCGGTCCTACGTTGAACATTCACGCAAGTGCTGTTAGTGAGCACCTATTAAGGCTGGCACTGCACACAAACAGCGATGTAGCCAGCACCGTACATGGCAGTATTTGTCTGCGTGGGGACGATGTTTACGCACCTGCACCAGGTACCAATATAAGTCAGAGTGGACCTCAATCAGGCACCAGCGCGCAACACACACGTCCCACACACTTGTAGATTTGAACGGGGACAGGGAGTGGACGCCACAGATCACTGGTGGGGGAGGGGGGGTTAGTGGGGGCAGCAGAGGAGAACGAGCGACCTGCCGCCAATCAAATAATTACTTGGAGGCAGCTTTGACCCTGCAACAAGGGTCACCAAAAAATGTCTTCGTCGCTGCTTTAAACCAAACAAAAATCCAATCCAAGCTCACCGACGTCAACCGCATCTGTTTTTTATTGGCGCGTTGTCTTTTTAATTTCTTTAGTTCCCCCCCCCCTCCTCGCCCACCACCTTCCCCCCTTGCCACGCAACTCGAGCCGCCCGCTAGCGGCCGCCCGATTAATAACACGACTCCGCAGAGGCGGCACGCAGCGGAGGCGGCGGCCGCAGCGGCGGCGACTTGTGAGGGCGTGGTCGGCCGCACCCTCGCACCGCCGCCAAAATTGCTCGCCGGAGACGGCCCTACGCCGTCGTGCCACTTGGACCGGCGGTCAGGCCCGGCCACCGGGCACACAGGAACAACATTGTGTCGGCCGGACCAGCGCCAGGTGTGGCGCTAACTGGCCACCCCCCCCCCCCACCCACCAAGGCCGCGCGCGAATGAACTGAGCTCTGTGTGCGTGCCGCGGGCAACACCGCTGACGTGGCGTGGGCGAGCGCGGCCCCCAGAATGGACATCGACAGTCGGAGTGGAGCGTGGGCAATCGGGGTTATTCGAGTTACACGTAACCGCGCTTCCCCCCCCCCCATTCCCACTGCGAACGGCTTTAATTAAATGTTTTTCAGGTTTCAGTTTCGGTACATTTGGTTACGGGGTATTAAATTAATTTGTATTACAGTCGCTGGTTTCTCCCTCCAGACCATGTGACATCATTAAAGTTGTTTTTTTTTACAAAATAATTTTCCACAATTATATCCCGAATACGCAATCGGTGTTATGCAACGAGCCCAAGGTATCCAATTCCAATCTTCTCGCGGACAGCAACTACTTTTGCTACCCAACGGCCCAAAGAAGTACAGAGCTACCTCTGAAATTCCTTCAAGCGACCTCTGGTGCACACAGCAGGGGTGCGCGGTGGGGGCAAACACCTTCCCATCCGCCCTGCCAACGAGGTTAATGTTCGTCGCATGACAGTCATGTACAAAAGTTTAATTGTCAGAGCTCCGACGCAGCCCAAGGAAGCAGTCGTTGGTGAGTGGACTGATCCCGTCGACTCCCTTAACTCGAGCCCCCGGTGAAATCACGGGTGGCCGCTTTGGATTCGAACGCCTTCACGATCTGACCAAATCAGTGACATTGGAAGCCCTCCACCGGCCGACAAAGCCAAACAAACGAATGTCGTGCGGTGCACAGGCGCGTCCACACGCCAATTATTATTGCCGCGGCTCGAACACCGGTCGGTTGAAGAACGATTTTCGCAACTAATTGAAACAACGAGATACGCGACGTGTCGTTTAAAACCCCGTCAAACATCAAAAGGACAAGCTCTGGAAAAAATACGAAGTAACAGATCCGCGGTCTGACACAAGCACACGCGTTCATCTGAAATCACTGAGCTGCATCGCGCATCCGCTTAGCGCGGTTGGCTACGTACGGTGCGAAAGAAGTTCAACAAACACACACACACACTCGCACCTCCGATTAGTGCGGTTGGCTACGTACGGTGCGAAAGAAGTTCAACAAACACACACACACACACTCGCACCTCCGATTAGCGCGGTTGGCTACGTACGGTGCGAAAGAAGTTCAACAAACACACACACACACACACACTCGCACCTCCGATTAGCGCGGTTGGCTACGTACGGTGCGAAAGAAGTTCAACAAACACACACACACTCGCACCTCCGATTAGTGCGGTTGGCTACGTACGGTGCGAAAGAAGTTCAACAAACACACACACACATACTTGCACCTCCGATTAGCGCGGTTGGCTACGTACGGTGCGAAAGAAGTTCAACAAACAAACACACACACACTCGCAATCTCCGATTCGCACGGTTGGCTACGTACGGTGCGAGAGAAGTTCAACAAACACACACACACTCGCACCTCCGATTAGTGCGGTTGGCTACGTACGGTGCGAAAGAAGTTCAACAAACAAACGCACACATACTCGCAATCTCGGATTCGCACGGTTGGCTACGTACGGTGCGAGAGAAGTTCAACACACACACACACACACTCGCACCTCCGATTAGCGCGGTTGGCTACGTACGGTGCGAGAGAAGCTCAACACACACACACATACTCACAATCTCCGATTCGCACGGTTGGCTACGTACGGTGCGAAAGAAGTTCAACAAACGCACGTACACACATACTCGCACCTCCGATTAGCACGGTTGGCTACGTACGGTGCGAGAGAAGCTCAACATACATACAGATGGCCCGGGCGCCACAGAACAACGGCGTGCGAGGTGGGAGACGACCCATGAGCACGGTCGGCAACGTGCGCTGCGAAAGAAGAAGTTGAAGGTGACGAAGTCCCACACGCGCGCACGGTGGGGGGGGGGGCGTCTTGCCCTGCCCCGCCCCCCCACCGCACGCAACGAGAACGCGGCTGCCCAACCACCCCACCGGCCCCTACCTTGGACGCCGCTCTTGTCCACGTAGTTGGCCAGGTTGAACAGGGTGTTCCTGGAGGCCAGGTACTGGATGAAGCGCTGCACGATAAAACGGGAGCGGCCGTCACCGAGCTTGCCGTGACAATTTTTATTATTTTTTTAACGATACCCAACATCGATCGTCAATATCGCGACCCGGCGATTATCGCGATATAAGAAAATTACAAGACGCTTTTAAACAATTGAATGGGGCCCTCTTGTTGTCCTGAGAATAGTGCAGGAGGATAAAATGTGCAGCCCTGCAACTGCCAGCTCATGCCGCTGTTGGCAGATGGGGCTTCCACGAGAGGGGGCTCTGGACAGCTCGATGAAAGTGACAGATGTCACTCGAGATATTTAATGCAACCGAGCACAGGTCAACGGTACGGTGGCTAGGAGATGTTAAGTACCTCGCCTGGTACACAGGAGGTCGTGGGTTAGAACCCGACCCCTGACGCCTGCTGTTTATTTGGAGTTTGCGTGTCTCTCTCTTTCCCTGTGGTTGCGTGAAATTTTCTCCGGGTCCTCTGGTTTTTCCCTATACATTTAGAATCAACATACATTTTAAGAGTGCTGGATATAACCACATTTATTAGAACCACATTTGCAAATGTGATTCTTAACTTTGAACAATGCCCGTGTATCGATATTTCAATTTTAATGTTCAATTGTATTGATGGGACTGTGTGTTGTCTTGCAGTGGTCCGAGACTGATGCTGTTGTTGTTTTGCTGCCTTGCACAAGCCTGCATTTGTTGTAAAAAATCAACAGGAACGTCTCCACTTTTTAAATTTGTACTTGCATACTTGACCTCATTTTATTTGTTTTTTAGTGACCTGCTCACCTTTCCCATCGGTTTTTGTATCATTGCTGGAACTTGCCGATCCCGTGCCCCTACTGGACATCAGTGACAAAGAGCTTCATAGCTCATCGGGTTCCTCCAGTCTAGACAAAGAGTCCGATTCATTTATGATAGCCAGATAAAAGAGAAATAGTTTCGTCTTAGTCAGTTCAAGGTACCGCGTCGAACTCGACGGAATCGCCACTTTCCCACGCAGAGGAGCCACTCACATTCCCCCTCCCCCCCCCGTACCTCGTTCCCGTAGCACATGAGGTGGTGCGTGGTGACGAGCGCTTTGAACACCACCACCCAGCTGCTGTTGACGGCGCGCTCGAACAGCGTGTCGGCCAGCTGCGGGATGCTCACGTTGATCTCGTTGGTGCACGCCGTCAGGTCTGCAAAGGCGGACAAACGCACGCAGACGCACGCGCGCGGTCAGCTTCCGTCAACGCGGTGCTCGTAAGTCGGTGACCGTTTTGCCGGCTCGGCCAGGGTCGCCTGCCGGAAGACGCGACGTGATATGTGCCGTCCCGTCGATGCAACGTATGTGTGTACGTTGAACTTCTATACGCGCCATACGTAGCCAACCGAGCTTAATCGGAGGCGCGGGGGAAGGTCAACAAACTGAACACAAAAAGCAGTACAACACGCTGAATTTCACATTACATTTCAATAATACTTGGTGTAATCTCGACTGAACACTCATTTCTTGAGAACTACTTATTGTGTTTAGTTTCTTGTCTTTACCCCGCATCACTGACCAGCACGGTTGGCTACGAACAGTGCGAAAATAAGCTCAACATACGTATGTACGAAAATGCAATTCAATGTTAAATGTTAACTTGCGTTGTGCACCCAGCACCATAAATGATTAAAGGTGCCGGTGATGATCTCAGTCGTGCCGGTTCATCGCGCTAACCTCCGAACGACCCCCGCGTCGACCTTTCAAAATGGCACGTCCATAGCCAGCTTTCACCGATTTATCATCTCTCCTCCTCCTCCTCGTCGCCGCGACGATTAACAACGCGTCCGTTGGCGTCTTGACTTCAGAGTCACCCCCCACCCGGCCGGCCAATCGGAGCGCTTGCCGCTCGTGCAAAAGAAATCACTTTCAAGACGGGCAGCCGGCGACGCTTGTCGCAAACGTTAGCGGTTCAACTCCAGAGGGCCGCCCCTGATTAATGCTGCCACGTGGATTAAACAGTGGCGTTCGGTTCAGTTTCATTTATTAGGTATAGCCCTGTGAGCCATTCGGCTCTTGAATCGGGTGCAACCGCAACAAACAAAAACTATGAACAAGAAAACATCTCAAAGTGACTATGCGCAAACAGAAAAAATCCAGGAAAAAACTGCAAAGTCTTCCAGAGAAAAAGCACCGTACACCAATGCTGTGCAAAAATCCCAGTGGGATGCAAGTCAAACAACAACAACTACAAGACAACTTAGATTAAAGCCATCATTCTAACTCCGTACTACAACAAACAAACATGGCCAAACCAAAAAAACTTGTCGAAATCACCAAAATAAAGCCATAACCAATGTAACGGTGTGCCGTCCACAGCTTCACAATGGACATTAAAGATCCCGCGACACTATTCCAAAAGGGAGTAGTAGTAGTAGGAGCAACGTGGTCAAAGCCAACGTTTAAAGCACCAATTTGCTTCAAGATAATTTAGTTTGTTAGTCTTCATTAACTTTGCCTTCACAATCTACTGTTGAGAAGACAAGTGGCTCAGAGATCAGAGGACTGTGCCGCCACTGTTGAAGTCCTAGGTTCAAATCAGAGGTCGCAAACGGGTTTTGATTCCTTAGCCATACCCGTACCCGTACCCGGCCGCACCAGGGTCGCAAACGGGTACCTGTACCCGGCCGGGAACGGGTACGGGTTACCCGTACCCTACCCAATACCCGGCCGGATACGGGTAGGGTACGGGTATCGGGTACCCGATTGCGACCTCTGGGATGAAGCCATGTTGCAGGCGCGGGTGGGTTGATTCTAGGAACTTGAATTGTGAGAAGAGACAAGACGTTGGGAAATGAGTGACAAAACGGTTACTCACCAGTGACTCACGGCCTACCCGTACCCGGCCGCACCAGGGTCGCAAACGGGTACCCGTACCCGGCCATCGGGTAGGGTACGGGTATCGGGTACCCGATTGCGACCTCTGGTTCAAATTCAGGTTTCAGCCACTGCCTACGATTCACCAGGGTTTTTCGAATTGACACAGTCGATGGAATCGGCCAGAACACTAATTATCGCACAACAAAAACGCCATCGCATTATATTTGGCTCTACACTTCGCTGGCTAAATTGCAGCTGTGAGAATTAAATATGTTCCTTTGGCTATCATGAGACCAAATATTACACTAATAGCAACAGGGTCGACGGGAAAGTGCTGCCCCCTCCTTTGTGGGCCAGAGTTAACCTGAAGGCAACTCCGCTTCTGTGGGCTGTTCTCTAACAGAGATGCGCTGCTCCGAGATTTTAATTAATTCTTCATCTCACGATGTCAATAGCACAACCAGGATAAAACTTGGACAAAAATTTTTTTTTTAAAGAATAAACCGTTGTTTTAAAATCGCTTATTTTCAGTCTGTATGTGCTGCGTGTGATTTTTTTTAGGTCAGTGGCTCTTTAACTTTACTGCAGCCTTGAAACAAAGTTATTGTACTTACGTGCCCGTGCTTAATGTGTGTTTTTGACGATTTACCTTCTAAAAAAATCTGGCATATCTCACACCCCCCAGAAAGGGCATCTCGCACCCCCAAGGGATGCGTGCACCCCAGGTTAAGAGCAACTGGTTTAGGTAGACGGGCACCAGGGGACTCTGCATACACCAACAACCGAAAGCCTGAAATAGCATCAGCGACAAAGGGCTCCTGGATCGCCACGGGGACTTGCAGAGACACCGTGCAGCTGGGGCAGCTCGCAGCTCGGGGCAGCTCAAGGCTAATCGGCCGACGGTACCCGCGAGTCAGAGGTCGCAAACGGTTTTGATTCCTTACCCGTACCCGGCCGCACCAGGGTCGCAAACGGGTACCTGTACCCGTACCCGGCCGTACCCGTTTGCGACCTCTGGGATGAAGCCATGTTGCAGGCGCGGGTGGGTTGATTCTAGGAACTTGAATTGTGAGAAGAGACAAGACGTTGGGAAATGAGTGACAAACAGTTACTCACCAGTGACTCACGGTCTACCCGTACCCGTACCCGGCCGCACCAGGGTCGCAAACGGGTACCCGTACCCGTACCCGGCTGGGTACGGGTAGCCGGGTATCGGGTAGGGTACGGGAATCGGATACCCGGTTGCGACCTCTGCCGCGAGTGTGTGCCACCCCCTGCTTTGCTCAGGCGGGACAAGGCATCCACGGGAAGTGCTCGAGACATAAAGCGAGACTAAAATAAATGTTAAAAACGTAACACCCGCGCACGCGTGGCGGAGGGCGGTCAAGAGCACGGGGCTGTTTGGCGAACGCACGCTCGCCCGGGGGGATGGCGGTGGGTGGCAGCCACTACCTTTCATCGGGGGCAGGCAGATGTCACGCCCGGTCACTGTGCAACAGTGTGCTGTGGTGTATGCATGCGAATTGTGTATTTGTGCCAAAGCAGCATATATCCGCATGCCTGGAAAGAGGAGGCTCAGCGGGCTTTTGCGGTGCCGTATGTACTGGAGGTGTGCGGACTTCATCGTGACAACTGGTACCAGCGGTGTCAAGATTGGCTTCTGTGAAGGACGCCACTGATAAGTTTGAAGCAGTCGCAATCCAGCAACAGCGGAGTGGTTGGTGCTCACAACAACGAGCCAGGTGGCTAAAACAAAGCAAGTTAACAGTGGGGAGCATAGGTAGTGCATTTGCCAGTCATATCAGGTAACCCATAACACCCGTGACCCCCTGCCAGCGATCCATCGACACATCACATGACCTGAGACGGCGCACCTAGCCTGGCACAAGTGATAAGATGTTACCGCTGCTTAAATGGCGGAGGGCAGCTGTTGTGTATTTTAATGCTGCCCTCGTGCCGAAGCAATAACCCACGCAGGACAAGCACGGTTCTGTAGACCAGGTCTCGGGCACGCGAGCGGCTATTTGTGCCAGCGTAGTGAGCACACGTGCGGCGGCGCTTTCATACGTCAATCTCTGAGCATCTCGCAAAACCGCGCTTTCCTCTCGAACCTCCACGAGGCCCATGCCTCATCCTCCAGTAGCCCGAGAGCTCGGAAGCCCTCTCTCAAAGGGCACTCTACTCTCTCACCGAGAAACTCGAAGCTCATGGGGGAACCACCCTTCCACAAAGCAACAGTCCACCCTAAGTCGCATGCACTGCACAAACCATGGCAGCAGCAGATGCGGATAGCTGACGCACAACAGAACAGAGCGTACGACGTTTAATGACGCAATGACGCAATTCCACGATCCACAAATACGAAGAAGACTTCACAGCGACTACACTCTGCTTACTCATGACGCGGATGTCTGGCATGACCAACTGGATGTGAAATTGTAGTCGCTGTTCTGCATCTACATCAGCCGTACGAAAGAAGACTGAGAAACTCTAATATTCCCCGGGTAAATCTCCTACGACCACCTCGTCAAAATAAAAGCTAAAAACAATATCTGGTAAAAGGGGACTTCACACCCACTGGCACTGGCGAACGAGACAAAAAAGACTCGCCATCTGCACTGGGCAGGTGGCTGCGAGGGCTCATTCCTCGGCGAAGAGACAGCGATGTTGCGTTTTCACGGTCGGCAGAAACCAGAGCAAGGCCGTGCCGGGTAGTTCTCGTGTAAAAAGAATGTTAAAGGCCACTTCAAGGATGTTTTGGACCGCTATTTGGCACACGGGGCCGCACTGTGCTCTGCGAGACTCGGGCAAGGATTCTTCGTCTCACAACAAGGTGCCGAAAGCACAACTGGTATAAACACGCGATTTTATTTAAATGTCAACCCCACCCTAACACCCCTCCAAAAGCCGAAAGGAGCTCAAATTATAGCGCTTAAAATACATCTCCTTTTAGGTGGCCAAGAGATGGCGGGGGCACAGCAATGGATTCTTGAATCTATCGCTGCGGAGCTCCGAGTGTTGTCCCCTTGCATGTAGCAGCGGGGTTTGGTGGATGCCCTCTGGCTTCTTCCGGTTTCCTGCCGCAATGAGCCAAACTCTCATTAATGGACTTGGCCAAACATCCCAAATTGCAGGACACCACCCCCCCCACCCCACCGAGGAACACGCCAAGCAAAAAAAAACAACCCGTCTTGACGTTCGGCAAGGACTTCCTGGCCAAAAGGACAATCAGCACTGGCATCGTCCGGATGGCGTGGGGCTCAGCACTCCGCTCGTGACAACGCGACGGAAGGGAGAGAGAGCGCGCCGGCGGCGGCGGCGGCGTTTGTTTTT